ATTGCTGCTGTTGAAAAGAATGTTTAGAAATTGAATAAATGATTCCTGAGGTTTTAATAAGACACCATCCTCCTCCATCCAGAAGGGAGATTAAGTATGTACAAGCTGTGAATGACTAGAAAATTTAGTGAGGACACTGCAACAATCAAACTTTAGCCATACAATGGTTAACTATGTAACCTAACTGTATTACCCTCCTACGAGTCTGAAATTTAAAAAACTAAATGTAAAAGAAAAGTAAATTTAATAAAGCTCTTTCTTCTACTTCCCACCAAAGTTTGAGACAGGACAAGGCTTAGGAGAGGGAAGAGGGCTTTCAGCACTCTGAGGGTTATCAGGAATGAGATTTTCTGCTGAGAACCATAGCCTTTGACTGAAAGAAGAGAAAGGTATGTATAAGGTTACGTGCAGGAGAGCCCAAGGAAAAGAAATAGAGGAAGTGTATAAAATGCTCTGCCTGGTCTGTGGAGGATCAAACTGACTTTTTCTGAAAGAAGGAATTTAACATTTCAAGAGTGAATCGCTGTCACCTCTTCACTCTTCACTTCACCCAAGATGCAGCAGCATCCGCCGGATGCACCAATTCCCGGGAGCAGGGCCATCACTCAGACAGACTCAGGGCACTCCATTTCTGCTTCTCCTGGACCCAGCCCAACCAGGGTCCTGTGACTTGAAGCAGCCAAGAAGCAGTAGAGGAAAAAACAGGTGCCCTTTCCAAGACATACTCCTTCTGCATATCAAACAATTCTAGAGGTTTGTTGTACTTTTGTTTTCTGAAAACCTTTTCAGTAAGTCAGCTTACTCTTTGAAGCAATACATTAACATCTGAAATCTTTATACTCATGAAGTATACCACAGTCCCAATCATAAGAACACCTGTGATAACTAACTGCCCATGGATCGTGGGGTCACAGAGCATTAATCTCACAAAGACCCATTCCCTACCCAACTCTGCAATCTCAAAGTAGCATTTCCCAATGCACGCCCCTCAAAACATTAGTTCCATTCTAAACAGTGAAATACTGTTAAATGAGTTTTGTTACCAAGGGTGAATTGCTGTGGTGGGTCCCTCCACTCATCAAGGTCTTTTGCCTTCAGTTAGTTACTCAAGGGCACGATTTCTCTCTCTCTTATACACTACCAGTTTTCCGGTTTTATTGGACTATTCTCATTAACACCCTGCATTAAAACGTGAGCAAAGGAATTTGGGAAAGAATCTCCCCAAATTTCCTTATACCTGCTGGTCATTCCTTCCCATTTATAGCAAAACTCCTGAGAGATTTTCTGTCTCCAATTCTCCTCCTTCAAGTCTCTCTTATGTCTGTCCACTGACAGTGACAACGTGACTGTCACTCTCACCACAGGACAGAAGTTGCTCTCTGAGAAGTCCCCACTGATGTGTGGACATGGCTGAGTCCAGCGGCCCAGGACCTGTCCTCACCCTGTTTTACCTGTGTGCCCCACAGGAGCACCCCCCTGCCCAGAGCCACCTCCTCTGCGTGGCCTCCACAACTCCACGCTTGGTAGGTTCCCCTCCTGCCTCGGTGAAGCTTCTCATTCTGCTCTTCTCCCAGCCTCTGTGGAGGGGCTTCAGACACGCCCATGGCTTCCTTTGTCTCTCTATCTCTGGTAATACTGTCCAGTCTCAGAGTTCTAAATACCATCAAAATGGTGATGACTCTTAAATCAATAGGTCCACCTTGATCTCTCTAGCCTACTACAGAAATATGCTGATGTAGCATTTCCTGGGGTTTCCATGAGGCAATTAGACATGCCCCAGACTGAATTTCTATTCTTGTCCTCCAAACCTTCTCTGCTCACAGTTGTTCCTACCAGTTAGTTCCAGCAGTCCCATTACTTGGACCAAAACGAGGGAGTCTTCCTTGCTGCCTCTCTGTCATACCCTCCTACCCTCTTTTGGTAATTCTATTGCCCCTACTTTCCTGACGCAATCAGAATCCGACCACTTTTCACAACCTTCCCTGCCACCACTCTGACAGAAGCCACCCTCACTTCTCACCTAGGTTTTGACACCAACCTTCTAAATGTTTTCTTGGATCCCACACCTACCCCTACACACTCTGCCACACAACAGCAGCCTGAGCAAGCCTTTTACAATACGAGTCAAATGATGACATTCCTGCTTAAAACCTTCCAGCACAACCTCTTATGTCACTCAAGTCCCTGCAGCTACACCCTCTGTGGTCAGCTCTTTGAGTTCATCTCCTGTCCTCTCACCCTTGGTCAGTCTGCTCTGTGACCTTCCACACGCACCAGGCCACTCCTACCACAGGGCCTTTGCACTGGCTGTTCCTCTGGCCTAAAACACACTTTCCCCTGTGCCTCTGTGTGCCTCCAAGTCTGTGCTGAAAGACTTCCTGGCAGGGTCTGCTCCCCTCACAAGGCTCTCAGCCCTGCTCCTCCTATGCCTCCCCACCTGCCCCAGGAGGGACTCTTCTGCCTTCTGATAGTCAATGCATCGTTCTTCTTTATTGTATTTGTGGATTCTGCTTCCCTGGACTATTAATGCTGCAAGAGCAGGGATGTCCACCTGTTCCTTCACCAATTCACCTCAAGCCTAGAAACTGACAAATAGTAGGTAAATGTCATTGAATAAATCCATAAATTAATGAACACGCAGTTCACTCTGTAGGCAGCAGGAAGCCACTAAAAAATTTTAACAAGTGCATTGTACAGTCTAAAGTGCACTTAAAGATTTTTTCCTCAAGTGTCGTGAGTTCTTGAAAGATCTTAGATTGCCTCAGTCAAGGAAGTGACTAAACCCTCCAGAAAGGGAGCTGTTTGAAAGTGGACACAGAGAAGGCTGTACAACAATGAGAGGTCTAAAGATTTAAGGGTTTCAAAGCACTACAATATTTCTTCACCTTTCTCAAAGAAGTGAGACAATATTTCTGAGTTGTTTTGTACTATCCCACAAATAGATCAAGAGAAGTAATTCCACACATCACACCTGGGTGTTGCACTACCTCCAACTTCCTAGGCACAAATGTTTCTCGTACATAATAATTTGTCTTCAAGGGGTGAAAAAGGCACATCTCCATCCATCTCAAAGTCTCCCTGCCAACCCTCTGGCAATGTCTGCCAACCAAGCACTGTGGTCAGTAGGAATGGGAAGTCAATTGGTCAGGCCATCTGGTCATCCATTGACACATTTGCAGGACGTAAGTTGTGTTTCCCACCATGACTTCCTGGGAAGCAGCCTGAGTCGGGGTGGACAGAGGAAACCCCTATCTTCCTCCCGTGAGCAGGAGCAGAGGGATTTCTCTCTGTCCCACTCACATAAACTTGCTCTCTTCCACAGGTAGAGGCAGAATAAAACTGTCAAAGGGAGACTTTTCTTTTTTGAGATTCACCTTTAAAGAAAATAGCACCATAAAATGTTAACTCTCCCAGCGCCTCTCACTCCCGGGTGCTGAGTCGGTGCCACAGCTGTGCAGGGCTCCCTGTGTTGGGATCCCCCTGTGCTGGGCTCTCCCTGTGCAGGGCTCCCCCTGTGCTGGGCTCCCCTGTGCAGGGCTCCCCCTGTGCTGAGCTCCCCCTGTGCTGGGCTCCCCCTGTGCAGGGATCCAGCGACAGCAGCCGTTTTCTCAGTCACTGCTCTCAGGTTCTCACCTCCGAGCAAAATGCCTTACGGACAGAAAATCACTGGCTGAAAAATGTTCAAAGCCAAAAATATCATCCCTTTGAGAAGAAAGAATAGCTTTCATTTTACAAAGAAGGAGGTTAAGAGGCTTACCAACAATCTGATAATGAGGCAGTCCCTGGGTGAAAATGACACTGGGCTTCCTTCTTCCCATCCCTTTGTTCTCTGCCCCACAGGATGATACCTGAGAGAAGCTCAATCAGGCAGCTTTTAGCACATTTTCTTCCTATAACACCATCTTCATCAAAGATATACTGGCAGGCTACTATGTATGAGTCACAGCACTAGACAGGAAGGTGGGGGGGTGAGGCATCAAGGCACCTGTCCTGCAGATGTGGGCCCCATCACCCCCGAGAGGCAGCCCACCTTCTGCGTGGTGGTACCCTGCTCCACCCAGTCAGGGTGGGGACATACCATCACCTGCAGCGTCTCATGGAAGGAGCACCTGTCCCTGTTCTTAGAGCCCTCGAGCCTGTCCCTTTAGGAACCTCACATTCAGCCACTTACTTCCTAGGTGCTTTTAAGAGAGCTCAAGAAAGCAATACCAATACCCAGAGCCAGCATGTAAGGACTGCAAACGACTTGCATTACCCAGAGCCGCCTGTGGCAGCAGGGTGCTCACGGGACGGCATCATCTATCAGGCAGCCCACAGCAGTGTGGCTTGTGCCCTATGACGTGCTTTGATGCCCCCCACCCCACCCAGGTGTCCAAGCTCACCCTCACAATCGCTGAGCCCCAGTCAGACCACAGCCATCTCCTCTCCACCTGGCCTGGCCTCCCCAGCAGCTGCTCTGATGTTATTGGGGCTTCTCCGACTCTTCCCATCAGGCTGAGCTGCTCTTTCCCCACACAGATGTCACCAGTCAAATCACACAATCTAACTGCTGTGAATCTCACATCACACCATGAGTACCTAAGCCAAGACCAAGGCCTCTGCGGAATCCCTCTCCACTCTGCGCAGCACACTGCCTGGATTCTAAGGATTTCCACTGAAGAAGAAAGGACCTGCTCAGTTTCCCCAGGTTCATATGGGGGGACCCTTTGCAGACACGCACAAGCCCTTGCGTGTATTATTCCTCAAATTTATTCCAAAGGTACTTAGACTATAGATGCCTGATGTCAAATTCACATTATCTCAGTCATTGAATTTCTTAATCTTCTACCTAAATAGTTCAAGCATGAACTTTAAGAAATTCAAAGGGGGGATGGGTTTTCTTAAGAAATGCTCTTTGGAATGACCACAGGAAAAGAAAAACAAAGTGTTTCTCCCACTCATTTTTCTGAACACGAACCATCTCGCCACAGGTGGCCCCTGAAGGGCGTGTGGCTACTCACAGGTCGCTGGTGTGGCAGGGGTAGGGAATCCCTTGCGTCTGCGCTGGGGGCTCCGGAGCTTCCTGCCCAGTCTGCACTGAAATGATGGCTCTTTCGATCATGTCTTGCAGTGGGACAAAGATGTAGTTGTATTTGAACCCACTGGCTGGTAGACTCTGAGGATGGAACTTCCAGGAAGGGTTTTTCACCAAGTCTGTTCTCATGCTGTATAAGACACTGGTCCGAATTGTGTATGTGACGTGGGGAGGTAGTTTGGGGGTCTCTGATCTGAAGTTCTTTCCTAATATGGAACTGTTGAATATGACACCTAATGGCAGAAAGAAAAGAAAAAGAAAAAGGAAGCATCATCACAACTTAAGGAGTGGTTCACACCACACCATGTCTGCACTGAGTCAGATGGAGAAGCTGGTGGGACCATGGGCATGGCACCGCTCCGCACCTTCTATGGGAGCCTGGCCTGAAGGGGGACAAATCCAGTCACACGGGCAGTCTGTGGTGAGCTTGAACAAAGACCTCCTAGTTCCTGGCCCAGTGTTGTTCTCTATTTAATAAAATCATGTAATAGTGTCATCAACACAAAAATTACTTGTTTGGTATTTTTTGCAGGACTTTAAAAATTACATAAGGCTGTTCAAATCATTGAGCATTTCTTCTCTTGAGTTGCAGATAGAACTCAGTGGGCAAAGTCCATCTGTTTGGGGTTACTTGCCATTCATAATTTAAGTATATAGATTCTGTTTTCTGACACATGGGTTCTTTGAATTTCATGCATAATTTCTACTATGGGCTGAATTGTTCCCTCCACCCTCTGACAAATTTATATGTTGAAGTTCTCAGCCCATGCATGTCAGAGTGTGACCACATGCGGAGATAGCATCTTTAAATAGTAATCAAGTTAAAATGAGTTCTTTAGGGTGGGCTCCCATTGTATACAATGGTGTCCCGGTAAAAAGGGGAAATTTGGATGCAGAGACATAGAGGAAGATGCCGTGAAAACACACAGGGGGAAATGGCAGATTGGGGCCAACGAGAGACTTGGAGAAGACCCTTCCCTCACACTCTCCAGGAAAGACCAGGGGTATCTTGACCTTGAATTTCTAGCCTCCAGAACTGTGAGACAATAAATTTCTGTTGTTTATGTCTTTGATACTTTGTTACAGCAGCTCAGCCAGCCAATACAAAACCTTAATAACAAGTAATTAAATGTTTACTCGAAAAAAAGATCAGAGTACACATCACATTTATCTTGACTAGGTGAAGAATTCATAATGGAGTTGAATTGACTAATGTCTTTTCACTCAACTGGGATATCAAGATACTATGATAAAATAAAGGTGACAGAGGAAATTAGAGTATGACTTTAATCAGGAAAAATACAATTTATCATGTGAGATTTAACCATGACATGATACTATGAAGTAGTGAAGCCAGCCGCAGTGAATGACAAAAATGCCATTAGTGATTATGGCACAATGAACATCTTTTCATTAGCTCAATACAAGTATTTTGCTTTATTTTATGTTTTATCTGCAGTGGACTTCTTTGTTTTCTGAGCCACCATAAGGTATGTTTCAGGAGAAACACAAAAACTGACAACACAGTTGAGCTGCCCCTTTGTAAACACATTTTTTCATCGAGTACTTACTGGCCAGGAAGTTGTTCTGCTGCATGAGTTCGTGTGCTCTCCTCTCCAGGGCGTCCACAGACTCCACAGCCTGGAAACGGTTCAACACCACGCAGGAGGAGAGATTGACCAGCATGCTGCCCAAGAGGCGGAAGCGCCCGGCCCCCGGGTGGTTAAGCATCTTGTCCAGCACCCCTCCTGAGGAAAGCAGAGTAGGAGGACAGGTCACTTTGTCCTCACACCAGTGCTTCCTGCTCACAGAGCAGAGATGGCACAAATGGATGTAGGTGTGAACACAAACACCTTCACAAAAAAATTGCTCCACAGTCAAAGTTGGTTCACATGCAACATTTGCCACTTCCTCGCTGAGTATAAACTCTCTCATTGTATAGCCCTTCTCTGTGATGCTGAGACTTACATGTAAGTGAGAAGAAAGCAGTTACAACACAAAGGGTGACACTGCAGACCAAAGGGATGTCAGAAAGTGGAGCAGGTGGCACCACAAACAGAAGAAGGGAACCTCTACAAGTGGCAGGGAAGGCTCTCACGCAGAGCTCAGGAGAGTTTCTGGGGGGAAAAAAGTTTATGTTCCAACCTGGAGTCAAGTAATCCTAAAAGAAAAAAAAAATGCCTTCCCTGAAGCAGCAAGCATTTGGCGAAAGTCATTTCATAACATTAATTTTGCAAAACCAATTATCAAGAAGTATTGACATTGAGGAAACCAAATCCTTGCTCAGCCTCTGTCCTAGATCTGTGCATTTGAAATGAAAGTATAGCCTCAATTTAGACCAAAGCGGGCAACATCTTGACTGTGGGTGTGGATCACAAGCATGTTTCTAGGGCACAACACCGAGGATGTCTCAATATTTTCACTCTCAGATCGCAAAGGAGCTGGAAGAAGCAAGTGCTGGAGAGTAAGGCAGGATGAGAAGAATCCCCAAACCCCGAGAGGGACAATGACATGGGACCCCTGAGTCCACGGGAGCAGAGTGCTGGGGAGTAAGGCAGGATGAGAAGAATCCCCAGAACCCTCAGAGGGACAATGATACGTGATCCCTGTGTCACTGGGGGAAGAGTGATGAGAATGGGTTGCTCAGGAGCCCCAGCAGGAGATGCCGTGGATGCCAGGAGTAAGTGGGACGAATGTGCCTCCCCCTTCCATGGTGCATGAAGTAACAGTTCTGTGTGGCTATAACTTCTAAGAAAGTTGCTCATCTAGTCAGCATGATGTTCATAACAGAGAAGACATCTCCACCCGCCCCAAGCTCTAGATCTTATAAAGATGTAGACAGAGTCTTTCCTTTTTTTTTCCTTATTGTTCAGGACCTTATAAAGAAAATAAAAGAATTGAGGAGAATTGAACACACCTGGAAACATACTGACATGGTTTAGACACTCACAGTGTGTGCAGTATCACACAGCAAATGTGAAACTGTACAGACAAAATCACAGGTCCGGAAAACTGTCAGTCACCAGCCATCGTTTTCATGGCTACAGGAGCTGTGCATCTAGTCTAACCTAGTGGGGGACCTCAGCTTCTGACATGTCGTCCTCTCATAAGGGAATGAGGTTATGACTAGCTCCCACCCAACCCCAAATCTATCAGACTGACCATAACTGACCACCGGGAAATACCATTTCAGAAGTAATGCGGGTAAGATTGGAATCTTCCAAGACACAGCTCACAATATACATGACCTTCATCATTTTTTAGCACCATTTAATTTTACAGAAGAATGTTATATAATTTGGAGCAAGTGTTGATTGGCTAACATTCTGGTGCTGTGTGTACTATTTTGCTCTTAAGCACATGAGTGCATTCTCTACAATCCACACAAGACCTCCAAAATGAGCACTCACTGAAGCTCAGAAACACCCCAGGGAATGGAAGTTCCCCAGGTGTGCCTTCAGTGTCAACCCTTGACTTTGTCTTCTCATCAAGTCTGGGGGCAGCTCCTGCCTTCAGGCCTCGTCACCTGCCTTCCATTGTATGGTGACAAACAAGGATCTGTCCCTGCTCCCACTGGCCCTGCTGCATCCCACTGACCTCTTGAACGCTCTAGACTGTCCCAGCGACAGTCAGCCTTTCTCTGAGCCCACTGCCATCCTGCATCCCAGCCACGAGTGAACCTGCCCTGCCCTGGGTGTTTGTCCCAGGACATGGCCCTCAGTCTCCACTAAGGGCTGCCTCCATCTCTCACACTCACTTTCCTCCTCAACTTAGCTCCTCCCTGTTCCAAGATCCTCTTGACATTCTAGGCTTCTGGACTGAGACTGGGTTTTGCTTTCTTGGCACCCTGCCTACGCTCAAAGGACAGCTTGGGTCTATGCACCGAGGGTCAATCCCAAATGAGAAATTGTATCAAGATCTTTCCCAAGACTTTGGGAAATTCGTTTAACATGTGTTGGCCTGAACTTCCTCCCTGGTAAGAAAGAATCATTTCCATCCACCAATTCCAGGGCACTGAAAACATGTAGGATTTCAAACTTCAAGCAGTGCCAGATGGTTCTGCCTCTCCATGTTCTGGACCTGCATTGTTTCTCAAAGAAGGTCATGATTTGTTATTGTGAACAGCTGTTAGCAAGTTCCAGTAATTCCCAGATCTCAGACTAAGAAGCAAGTATGAGAAATTCAGGATGGATTTCAGGTAATTTTAAACTTTTGCTAAGTATCTACAGTAATAATGATGTGGCATGATCACGTGTCAGGCACAATTCTGGGCACATTTATATATCATCTCATTTAATTCTTACGTTTGTAAGGAAATGCTTGTGGTACATTCATTTTCCACTGTAGGAATTAAGGCACAAAAGGATGAGAAACAAGTGAGCTTCAAAACCATGATTCAAACAGATGCCATCTAGCTTTGGAGTTACAAATGCCGTATGATGCAGTTATACTGGGTAGGACTACAGGAAACTGGTACTCAATGTATGTCAAAAATACCCACACACTGGGATGTTTAAGCAATGCCGTTTGAGAAGAATGGAGGGGCAGTCCCAGCACTGCCTGCACTTTGAAATCCTACATGTTTTCAGTGCCCTGGAGTTGGTGAACGGAAACGATTCTTTCTTACCAGGGAGGAAGTTGAAGCCAAGACATGCTAAGTGAATCTCCCACACATCTTTGGACAACGGAGCTGGATCTTAATGTACTTTCTCATCCAGGCTTGGCCCCTGCTGTAGAGCCTCAAGCTGCCTTTTGAGCTCAGTCAGGGTGCCAACACTAATCCAAAGAACTGAGTTCCTGGTTCCACCAAATATTGAAAGAGCCAGTCTCTAAGCCTCTGTTTTATCATCTGGATTTCAGAAGGAATAAAAATTTCATTACTGTTTCCCAGGACATATCAATGGGGAAAAAAGGATACAAAACTATTTAGCAAATGTTTAAGCAAAAGACCAGTTAACCATTGCCATTAGAAAGAACACACTCCTTCTCAGAGAAACATACCATTTTCTCTATTTCCTTCTCTGAGATTGTACCGCGTCTCCGACACAGCCCTTGGCTGGTGACTCCAGCATGCAGCTGTGACAGAGCTGTGCGACAGAGCTGTGCAGAGGAGAACTTCTCCAGTGTTCCAACCCAGGGAGAAGGGGTGAGGTGGGGTGTGCAAGGAGAAGACAGTGACCCTGGATGGGTTTTAGAAGGTGAAATTCTGTGAAATAACTGATTGTTTGAAAAATTTATATTTTATTTGACTACTCCTCCTTTGTGCTAGTATGAAATTATGTCTTATTTTGCTAATACACTGCCTAGAACCTGCTATAAATGTTGATGTATCAGAATCTAGATGTGTCACTTCTGCTGTGAAATGCTACTCTGAGGGGTGGTCTTTATGGTTTGCAGTGGTTGTGATGGCAACTCCCTTAAGGATGCTGTAGTTATCTAAACATTGTGGGCATAAGGCTAGGCTTGCATATTCTTGTGTGCAATAATTACCCTGGGAGCCACCACCAAAAAGCAAGACCCATGAGAGGCATGTAATGGGCAACCCAGCTTGGGGGTGTAGGAGGGTCATAGTCTCCCTACTGTAGCTGCTACAGGGGTACAAGGCCTGGGGCTGCAGAGCCCATATCACGTGTCTGGCAGCTCTACTATTTATCCCATGGTTTACATTGGAAGTTATTTAATCTGCCAAAGTTTCAATTTCCTTATCTGTAGGATATAAAAAGCAAAATTGCCCATGGAGCTGTTAAAATTAAATGAAGTGTGTATATCTATATATATACACACACATATCTGCATTATAACCTGATTGCTATAATATATATGTATATGTATCTGCTATAACTTGATCCTAAAATTAAATAAAGTTTATACACACACACACATACATATCTGTATTATAACCTGATGCTATAATAAGGGCTTACTGCATGCTATTATCATCTTTCTAACTGCTAACTCATTATCTTTATTTAATTCCGTTGCATGAAACTAAACAGAACAACTAGAAAATAAAAGACCAAAAAGTGTACTGTGTACTATGGGAGGATTTGTGTGTGTGTGTGTGTGTGTGTGTGGTGAATTGGAGATTGTTAAATTTCACGGTCTGGGGCAAACTGGGGGCATTTTCATATTGTGTTTTTATATTGCTGACCATTTGTCACTTAGAATGTGTTGCTCCATAAGCTTGCCTAGTAAGCATGGTTAGAGGATTTAACTGTATAATTCCAGGTGTGAAGTGCAATAAAGAGTTAGTTGGGGCTCGGCGCCTGTGGCTCGAGCGGCTAAGGCGCCAGCCACATACACCTAAGGTGGCGGGTTCGAATCCCCAGCCCGGGCCCGCCAAACAACAATGATGGCTGCAACCAAAAAATGGCCAGGCGTTGTGGCGGGTGCCTGTAGTCCCAGCTACTTGGGAGGCTGAGGCAGGAGACTCGCTTGAGCCCAGGAGTTGGAGGTTGCTGTGAGCGTGATGCCATGGCACTTTACCCAGGGGGATAGCTTGAGGCTCCGTCTCAAAAAAAAAAAAAGAGTTAGTTGGCCTAGGTACAGTGTAGCTTTCGTTGTCTTCCAGGGTAAAAATCAAAGCTGCTCTAAGAATGCCTTAAGAATGCTTCTGAATCATTTATATAATTGGGACACACACACACACACACACACACACAGAGTCATGCTGCTTGACTATTGTTTCTAGGGAATAGGTTTGTAAACCTGGATAGCTATTGTACTGAACACTGTAGATAGATGTGAC